CTGTGAGACACTATGCTGGGCCAAAAACCTTTTTTCTTGAGACTGAGTTTCACTCTTGTCGCTCAGGCTGGAGTGCAATGGGTGATCTCGGCTCACCGCAATCTCCGCCTCCCGGGTTCAAGTGATTCTCCTGCCTCAGCCTCCTGAATATCTGGGATTACAGGCATGCGCCACCATGCCAGGCTAATTTTGTATTTTTAGTAATGAGACGGTTCTTCCATGTTGGTCAGGCTAGTCACGAACTCCTGACCTCAGGTGATCCTTGGCAACCCAAAGTGCTGGGATTTCAGGTGTGAGCCACCGCATCTGGCCCCCAAAACCTTTTTTTTAATTGCAAGTTTATTTCTATGTTTGACTTTAGTAGATGACTTTTATTAAACTAAGAAAATTTCTGACCAGGCACGGTGGCTCACTTGAGGTCAGGCGTTCAAGACCAGCCAGGCCAATATGGTGAAACCCCATCTCTACTAAAAATACAAAAATTAGCCAGGTGTGGTGGTGCATGTCTGTAATCCCAGCTACTTGGGAGGCTGAGGCAGGAGAATTGCTTGAACCCAGGGGGCACAGGCTACAGTGAGCCGAGATTGCACCATTGCACTCTAGCCTGGGTGACAGTCTCAAAAAAGAAAAGAAAAATTCCCATTATTGTTAGATTCCTAAGACAGTTTAAAAATCATAAATATGTATTAAATGTTATCACATTTGCCAAGTCCAGCTCATTTTGTATCTGACAGCATAGAAATCGGAAATGGGACTTGACTCAGATTTTATCCCTACTTTTTTTGAGATGGAGTCTTGCTCTGTCACCCAGGCTGGAGTGCAGTGGTGCGATCTTGGCTCTTGGTTCACTGCAACCACCCCCTCCTGGTGTCAAGTGATTCTCCCGCCTCAGCCTCCCAAGTAGCTGGAGACTACAGGTGCGTGCCACCACACCCAGTTAATTTCTGTATTTTTAGTAGAGACGAGGTTTTACCATATTGGTCAGGCTGGTCTTGAACTCCTGACCTCAGGTGATCCACCTACCTTGGCCTCCCAAAGTACTGGGATTATAGGCGTGAGCCACCACACTCATCCTCTACTTTCTTATCTGCCAATATCAAGTCGTGAACTGAAAACATGGATTGGAACAGCAGTACAGACTGGCCTTTTAAAAGTGGGCAAGTTGGCCAGAAGTGTAAGTATTTACTTCACCTATTGGTCTTTGCATCATATAAAATAAGGTGTGTTGAATGTGACTGGCAATCTGAAATCACTCTGCAGAACTGACTTACCATTAGAAAATGTCGTCTTCAGCACAGATTTGTGACAAATTCACTTGCTGAGAAAACGCAACCCCATATTTGGAGTATGGCTAAATTGACTCATTCAGATCAAACAAACAAAAGCAGACAAAAACAAGGTATACCTTTTCCTTATATATCACAATTAAGTTTTAAAAATAGCAAATTTTTCGAAAAGAATCACGTCAATAGCTAAAAATGTTATAAACAGTTCGAAAAGAATCAATTCTATACGTTGTTGGAAGTTGTTTCATATTTTATTTTCTAATTGCAATAGTTTGCCTATAATTTCTTTACATCATTCTGTATGATGGGAAAGGAAACCTCTAAATCAGTTAGTACTAATTAGTTGTCATGAAATCTATAGCAAAAGGACTCACTGAAGACTTAAGAATAAAATATTATCAGAGGTATCAATATTATTAACTATAATCTTTCTCTAAAGAAATATAGAGCAGTTGATATTTTGTAAAGTATCTTCAAGCAAACAAGAGACTTCATCTGTTGGTCTTATGCCAAATTAAATGCAGTTGGTAGCAATTTTAAATACTGTGTTGACATGAATATACAAATATACATTCTACGTGTTCCTTCTATTGTAAGAATCAAAGAGTGCACACAAAAGAAATGGGAAATACAGAATATAGAAGACATGCATCTTCTATCTTACATAGTACTGGGTATCAAGTGAAAAGAGGCAGACTGCTCTAAGTACATTACAAGTATGAACATCTAAATGATCAATCCTCCTAACAATTCTGCATGACAGGTACTGTTTTCATCATCCCCATCTTATAGGTGAAGAACCTGAAGCTGAGACGAGCTGGAGAATGTGCCAGTGGTCACCTGCAGGCAGAGGGCTGAGTAAGGGTGGGACACAGGCCCTTTGACCCCAGGATCCATGCTCTTCCCTCTCTAGTACATTGCTTCACAAGTACCTAGCAACTTGCAAGGCTGGGAGGGTGGGCTAAGAGAGGACAAAGTCCAACACAGCCTCCAAATTGCTCGGTTCTAACGCTATACCTGAGGGTCTAGTGTCTTTTCATTTTGCTCTTTCTGAATAGGAAGAAAAGCAGCAAAGATAAAAGGGAGGATAGTTGAGGGTAAACCAAAAACACAAAGCAGTATGCAAAAGTTCATGGGAGTCCAAACAGTATAAATAAAACTTACCCTTACTAAGCAGCATAAAGATAAGCATTTCACACCAATACAAATCATTTTCATTTTTATGACAGTCAGGTAGTATTAAAAAAACCTCGCTTTCATTCTGATACTTTAACTGTCAATCCAGTCAATACTGGTTGTTGTTAAGTCTGTACACAATACAAATAAAATATAAATCTAGCTATTTTACTCAAAACATGCTTTTTACCTATTTGATTACTCAGAGTTACTCTGAAATCAATGACAGCAGTTTATACCTATGAAAGATATTACTGAACATCATAATCTAATATTTACATTAGATGAGATTAAGTTAAATTACAATTCAGAAAGAGTTTGTTAGCAAACATTTATAGCCATGATTCCACAGATGTGGTGAGTAAACCAATGGCCATTCCTCAATAAAATACAACAATTTCCATCATGCATAGTTTACAGGCTCCATAAGAAGCAGTCTCTTTAGGGGCTAGATGCTTAAGAAATATTCAACAGTCAAACAATGAAATCTTGGCTTCTTTTTTAACACAAATGTTTGGTTTGGTTATTTAGCCTCATTAGTGATAAAACATATTTATATTCTAACTGCAAGTGGAATAAACATTGCATCAAAAACGCAACCCCAGCAAAATCATTAGTAATAACTATTATGCCCTCTTAGCAGTAAAAATCATTTTTTTGGATTTTAAACATTTTATTTCTTTCTGTGCATAGCTTATAGCATTGTATTACAGGAATCAGAGAGTATAAGCAAAAAAAAAAAGTGAAAAATAAAACTTCTTGAAGACCACTTCCATTATTTATGATTACGTCAATGAAATGATACAACTTCCACATTAAATACAAATTAGTGAAAGGACTCCTCCAAGTAGTATTGCATATAAGCTACAACTTTACCCAACTATTTTAATCATTATGATTCGAGATTTCCTAGGATGTAACAGCCCAATCAGGCTGTTACGACCTTGGCAAGAACAATCACCAGCAAATACATGAACTGGGGTTATAGCTGAATTTTTAGAAACTCTTCAGACAAACCACATGTGTTAAAGGAGGTAAATAGAAAAATTAATGTTTGAGCTGTGCTATTCCTACCAGGAACTATATCACATATGATGCCAAGTTCAAACATAATTAGTAAAATAATATAACAGGATCTATACATACTGTAAATTTAGCAAAAACACTTTTATATACAGAAACCTAAATATCTTAGGAGGTTTAGAATATGGGTGGAGACAACTGTTAATTCTTCAAGGTTGGTTTCTTACGAGGATTAAAAACCAGCCCTTAGTCTCAGATGCATTCCATCTAGATGTGTTCAGGAACTCCATAGAACAGGAAATATAAACCATGAATATGCACCCTTAATTTCTATTCTTCAACTTAATGTTTTATAGTACCTCAGATTTTTGAATCCAGAGTTCGTAGTTGGGAAATTATAGTAAGAGTAGATTAGAGAAGATTTGCTTGTTTTTCTTTTGAAGCCATGTGAAGGTTTATTCCCCTGTGCATTACTTTTCATCACTAAAAAGCTCCATGGGGACTAAAAGAATAAAAGTGTCATAGCCAGCCTGGATGGTTCACGCCTGTAATCCCCGCACTTTGGGAGGCCAAGGCAGGCGGATCACGAGGTCAAAAGATCAAGACCATCCTGGCCAACATGGTGAAACCCTGTCACTACTAAAATTACAAAAATCAGTTGGGCGTGGTGACTTTTGCCTGTATCCCAGCTACTCAGGAGGCTGAGGCAGGAGAATCGCTTGAGCTGGGAAGGTGGAGGTTGCAGTGAGCTGAGATCACACCACTGCACTCCAGCCTGGTGACAGAGTGAGACTCCAACCCCCCCCCCCGAAAAAGAATAAAAGTGTCACGAGCTACATGATGGATCTTTTCTTTTAATGTTGCAGATGATTTCAGTTTGGCTAGTGAAGGCTAACTAGCTCAGCCTTAGTTTCATTTTATGAGAGTTGACAACTAAAAACTAAACAAAGAAGTTACCAGTAAACCTAGTTCCCAACACAAGCAAAAAACCAAAAACAAACAAAAATAAAACACCAAAACTGTTTGCATAACAAAACATATCCTTAACACAAAATAAGCGTATAACATCTTCTGCAGTATGATGTTTTATTTCTCAGCTGTAGCTTTTCCATTCAGAAATTGGAGACCATCTTTCCATTGAGTTGTTATTCCCTCCTTTTCCCCTAGCTTAGATATATGTTGAAAAAGGCTTGTCAACAAGTTTTTTTTACAAGTTGTTATGAAATTAAAATTTCATTTACATGTATCTTGTGTTAATAAAACACTCAAAATTGTAGCTTACATGTGTATATGATTTCTGAAAATAAAAAAAATCACACTTTTAACAATCTTTCTGCGCTGTAAAAATATTCTACATACGTGCATATGATCAAAACAATCTTTGCATGTTTGGGATATTTCTTNTTTCCATTCAGAAATTGGAGACCATCTTTTCATTGAGTTGTTATTCCCTCCTCTTCCCCTAGCTTAGGGATATGTTGAAAAAGGGTTTTCAACACGTTTTTTTTTTTTTATTTTTTACAAGTTGTTATGAAATTAAAATTTCATTTATATATCTCAAGTGTTTATAAAGCACTCAAAATTGTAGCTTACATGTATATGACTTCTGAAAATAAAAATCACACTTTTAACAATCTTTCCGCTCTGTAAAAATATTCTACATACGTGCATATGATCAAAACAATCTTTGCATGTTTGGGATATTTCTTACACATAGTAAAAGAAAACAATTTTATCAGTACTTTCACATGTTTAGATAACTGAGTGCCACCTAGTGTTCAATTTCTGTAACTACTAAGCTTACAAATTCAAAATTGCTATTAAAACCCAAGTTCTGAAAACTGCATTTTGGAAATGCGTTTTTTTTGATATGATTATGGTGGCAAAATATGATTATGAAAAGAACACATGATATCAAAATCAGTATAAAAATAGCCATAGGCTACTTAAATATGACAAGACTTATTTTTTACTTCAAATGCAGATTTCTTCCTCCCTCAAACTGTATCAAAATCTTAAGGGAATACCTAGGTAATTGGAATATACACAATGACTCTATACAATCAAGAGGCCAGGCTTAATCATATTCCATAATGAGGACAAGGCAAATTATTTCTTTAAAACATCCATTTTCTTATTGGAAGTGGTAGGAAAAGCAGCAATCTATTTTTTTTTTTAAATAGTAGACGTGGTCTTCTACCCATAAGCTCCACTATATTAAAAGAGCAAAGTGGGCTTAACATCTTACTTAAGATAATTCAGTATTACCAGTTTTAAAAGAAATAAAAATACCTTAGGAACAAATCAGTCTGTTTTAACAAACTGTATTCATGCTAATGAAATTTTAATCTTCTTTGTCATGGCCAAAATCCAAATTGCAGGACAACCTTCAGAAAAGATGGAATGTAAAATCTTGAGTTCAGTTTAGATCTGGAAGGGAAAAAAGAATATCAATGAAAGGAAAAAGAATTCTTACGTTCCAACAGTCTATTCCATATATGAGAGACTTTGACCTCCTTACGCTGAGAAACAAATCCAGTTTGAAGAAGAAATTCCTATAATTCTGGCCTGCTATAAGTAAATCATTATGATCTCCTTTGTACTATTATATGTAATGCAAAATCTTCCTAATAAAGTTTACTGTCTCCTTCCTTTCCTTTAATGCTAGTAATTTGAGACTTTTATATCTCGATGGGAGCAGACATCAGGGGTGATACTGACCTAATTCCTGAGTCAATCTGGTTATAGTTAGAACATCTATAAACCATCTGGAGAAATGTCTTAAAGAAGTAGGGTTCTAAGGTGACAGAGCAAATTTTTACAAAATGTTCAAGAGAACCCCTTTAATAACCACTGTCTTTACCATCTCTTTTCCAGCCAGCCAGCTGGGTCCAGTTCTGAGGAGTTGTTGGCCCAGATCCAGAAATTTTTACTGAGAAAATCTTGACCCTGCCTAGATGCTCAACCCATTATCTTGGTGCATGTGGCTTCATATTCATGTATGTTCTCTGATTAGGTTCCTTATTATTATTATTTTTTTTAAAGAGGCCTTCTACTCCTGCCCAGTTGTCAAAATGTTTGGGGTGGCACTTAATCCACGTGTCAGCTGCAAGTTCTTACCAAAGAATGGAATTGTTAATTCTATTGCCAAAATATTAGCAACAGTTTAGTCACAAGACTCCTCTTGGCTCAGGATCTCCAAAATTAAGAAAATAACAGAACAATATATTTATTTCTCACTTCCTATTTTTGCGTATGTGTTAAAATATCTATTAACGTTAGTAATTTAACTCAAAGTGTGAGTATTCTTGGTCAGGAACTGCTCTTGCTTGGTATTCTGAAATTCGATTTTTGCATCAAATTTAATGTTATTATTTATTTACGAGACAAGGTCTGGCTGTGTTGCCCAGGCTGGTCTTGAACTCCTGGGCTCAAGTGATCCTCCCCTGTCAGCCTCCTGAGTAACTGGGACTACAGGAGCATACCACATCTGGCTTATTATTTTTGGATTTAAATACACAGGTGGTTTCTGAACTACATTTCAGGTAAAGAGGTTTGAAAAGAAGAGCCCAAAACAGATTTAAGAGTAACACCCCAATCGCTAAATAAACTTATGCTACCAAAAGATTTAAGTCTGAATTTCATTCAAATGCAGTAACAGCAGAAGTGCAGTAAAGCGTTTACTCCTATGGGCATTACTACTTTATTGTTAGGAAAGACAGGACATTTTCCTCAAAATAAACATACCAACTGCAAGCCAAAAGTTTGCCAACAGTACACACCCAACAGCTAAAAACACCACAATTGGCAACAGGCCTCCATTTTGTCAAGGCTTTCAGTGTATATTGTAATTCCAATGCTTCATATCAAGCTGGTTCAAACAAGATTCTTTCAACATACTAATATTTCAATAAAAAAGGCACGTTCCTTTGATAAGATCTTCTATTTTTCAACTGTTCACTAAATTTCCTATTGGCTATCTCTTTAGAGACTCTTAATTAAACAAGTTATGATTAGAGTGGCTGGTGTTAATATTGCCAATGTAAACACTGATCTTTTCAGGAAGACAAATTGAAGAGCGTTTTAAGAATTCTCAAAATATAAACAGTTTGACTAGTTGTCTTCTAAATAATACTATTTAATTCAGACAATTCTCAAAATATACCCTTATTTAAATGTCCCATGTTCTTAAAATTAATGGATGTTAGGGGAAAGCTGATTTCTCCATGGATAGTAACAAAAATGGGAAAATGCAAGGCACATTTACTTACGTCATCAATATCTTCATCATCATCTCCAATGTCATCGAACTGAATTTCGTCATCATCTCCCGGACCAAATGTATCAGTTTCATTGATTTTAGCTAAGGACACAATAAGAAATACATTAAGTCAGCTTTGTAGCTTAATCAAAGCTTCATCATAACAAAAGCATTCCTAACTTTTATATAACACAATTACTATAAAGAGTATTTCACAAAACGAAATTCCCTGTAGTGTCACTGCTATGTCAAGATGGGGAGTATTTGTGTTACCGTTTTCTTTTGTTTGCAAAGTCATTTTTAGTAAGGCAGGCTCTAATTACATTAATTCTGAAACTATTATAACTTCCAGGTATACTTCTTAACAGGTTTGGGCACATGGTAACAACGTATTTCCTTGAGATAAGAAGAGCTGGTTCACTAATAATCATCAGAAAGATCTAGTCCAATCATGATTATCCCTAAGCAATGAAAATGAATCAGGAAGTGGTAGTCCTATTCCTAGATATATTGACATTTCTTAGATCAGAAATGCCAAGTAATTTCAGCATGCTTAAGTAAAATTAGGTTATCTCATAATAATGTTTTTATATAATCAGATACAACAGAGCTAAAAATAGTAACTGCCAAGTAAAAATGCAGGCCTACAATATAGTATGTCAAGCATATTTCCCCTCTGATGAGGTTATAAGGGACTTATTTTTATGTTTTCTGCATGAAGAATTCATTATTTTTGTATTTGGAGGAGTAAAAACCAATAATGTTGCTTTAAAAAAATCCTATGGGATACTATTACACAAGGATAAATGGAAATACAACTTTTTAATAAAAAGTAGTAACGAGGCTGGGCATGGTGGCTCATGCCTGTAATCCCAGCACTTTCGGAGGCCAAGGTGGCTGGATCACCTGAGGGTCAGGAGTTGGAGACCAGCCTGGCCAGCACCGTGAAACCCCATGTTATTTCTGTTAAAAACAGAAAAATTAGCTGGACATGGTGGCGCATGCCTGTAATCCCAGCTACTCGGGAAGCTGAGGCAGGAGAACCGCTTCAACCTGGGAGGTAGAGGTTGCAGTGAGCCGAGATTGCACCACTGCACTCCAGCGTGGGCAGTAGAGTGAGACTCCATTTCAAAGCAAACAAATAAACAAACAAACAAAAATCAGTAATGGTACCTAATTATATGCCCTTGCTTCATGTTGTGTTTTTTAAAACTTTTTTGAGACAAGGTCTCATTTTGTCACTCAGGCTGGAGAATAGTGGCATGATCATAGGTCGCTGCATCCTCAGACTCTTGGACTTAAGCAATTCTCCTGCCTCAGCCTCCCAACTGGCTGACACTACAGGCATGTGCCACGACGCCTGGCTGACTTGCACTTCATGTTTAACTCATATGAGCACTAACAATCTCTTGAGGAAGAAATTTTAAAATAGATACTATAACAAAATTATTCCTTTGGGTTGCATTATGTGGAAGTCCAAAGCTTATAGAGCATAACTCCTCACCATATTTATTAGAAACAGAATTCCAGTAATTTTTTTCGTACAGTATCTAGCATCATGAAGCACAGGCAGGCATACATAAAACTAAAAACATAAGCACTAAAGTAAATATGCAAAATCCACAGTTCCTTCACCTAAACACCAACAGATAACCTAAATACCATATAACAAGTTAATAATAATAACCCAGACATTACCATGCTCTGGAAGCTCGCCATATGCCTTCAGACTTCTAGCTTCGTCTGCATTGTATTTTAAAATTACATCAGCTTTGTTATCCTTGAATAGAGATAATAACTTTAAAAACTGATCATAATGAAACACCAGTTATATCATAAATTCTCATTGAATAAACAATCAAATCTCACCATTTTATTATAAATCTTTCTCCTTTTAAATTTTAAAGCTTTCTCTTACCCTCTGAAAAATATACTTGGGTTTAACCCAGGAGGAAGCTTACATGCATGACGGAATGATGACTAAGAGGCTGAGGAAATATATTTGAGGGTCTCACTTTAGTAAGAGCAGAACTGCGCAGACCCCGTATTTTAGATTATTTAATATAACCCTTTGATCAGAAGTCTTTTGAAATACAAAAGTTCCCTGGAACGGTAATTTTCAGGGTGATCAAACACTACAATTCCAAAATTGAGACTGAACTAAGACTGGTATAATGACCTAAGGAAATTATACCTTTCCTTATTATCTGTGCTTCTTTGGCTATGTTATCAATCAAAATCTCCGGTAGAGTTTTTATATCTTCTGAAGATAGATTAGAAGTGAAGCCCAAGAATTAGTATTGTGAGAAATTCTTTAGGTATTTCTGATGCAAACGTCCCATTGAGAAATACTGCCTTAGAATGTTTCTATTTCCCCATTTGAAAGGAATTTAACTCAGTTAAGGGAGAAAACTGACTGCTTCAACTTCAAGGACAGTGTGATTCAGACCAGTACTTCTTAAAATGTAAAGTGTATAGAAGCCCACGGAGATCTTATTAAAATACATGTTCTGAATGAAGTGTCAAAGAACCTGCATTGGTAACAAGCTTCCAGAAGACAGTGATGCTATCGAGCCACAGACCACCCTGTAAGTGGGAGGGGCAAAGCAGGATCACAAAAAAATTCAAATCAGAAGTACTGGTCCTGGCTGTCACTTTACGGTCAGAATGTTATTCATTTCAAAACCTTGGTGTCCTTATCTATCAAACAGGGAATTCCTTATTTTTCCTACTTCTGGGGTTATTGTTAAGATCAAAAGAAAAAAATGGACATTAAAATGGTATGAATTTAAAGCAGGCTTTCTCACCTCGACGCCAGGGACTATTGTGAGGTGGACCGTTCTCTGTTAAGGGATGCTGTCCTGTGCTCTGCAGGATGCTTAGCATCACCCCAGCCTCTATCTACTACATGCTAGCAGCACTGCACCCATCCCCCAGTAGTGACAACCAGAAAAGTCTCCAGACACTGCTAATGTCCCCTGGAGGGCATAATTGCCCACGGTTGAGAAACAATACTATAAAGTGAAGATTTAAATTCTTTATTCTGGATTATTTTTTTTTAAATCAAAGTATGATCAAGGTTGTACAAATAGAGATATTATCACACAGGGACGAGTTCTAATAGGTGGAAGTCGAACAGACCTCACAGACCCACAATGAGTCTACAGAGTCAAGGGTTAAGATCATGAAAGGCAATCATCATTTTCTTTCTTTCCCAAGTGCTCATCTAGATTTATAGCACACACCTGTGTCGTGATATGTATTGTAATTACTTGTGTGCTTGTCTTCATTCTCTACACTACCAGGCTATGAGCCTTTTGTGGGATGCACACTTACCTCATCCAGCTGTATGCCCTAAAATAATGCCTCCCACATTTTGATTTAAACATAATCCCTGGGATATCTAGCACAATGCCTAAAACACAACTGGCTCTAAGAAATGGCTCATCAAATTCAAGCCAGTAAAAAATGTAAAATTTATGCGTAATTTTTACCTGGTAGTCTCGGAGACCAACCAATATTATATCGGAGGTATTTATCCAAACCTACAAAAGAAAAGTCATTGTCGGTCATATTTAAAATATTCCAGAGTAACAATTAGTTTATATTGTTATATTCCAGAGTAACAATTAGTTTAGAAATTAAGAGATTTTAGTTTGGGCTGGCACGGTGGCTCATGCCTGTAATCCCAGCACTTTGGGAGGCCGCGGTGAGTGGATCACTTGAGGTCAGGAGTTCAAGACCAGCCTGGCCAGCATGGTAAAATCTTGTCTCTACTAAAAGTACAAAAATTAGCCAGACATGGTGACGCATGCCTGTAGTCCCAGGAACTCGGGAAGCTGAGGCATGAGAATCACTTGAACCCAGGAGATGGAGGTTGCACAACAGAGTGAGACTCTGTCTCAAAAAGATTTTAGTTTGGGAACAGAAGGATTAACTTACCAAATTAAAAAAAACACAAAATCAGAGTTGGGACTTTTAGTCAACCTGATTAATAAATCTGCCTGAGTAACTACTGTGATGGTGAATTAATCATTACTTTCCAAGGCAGTCCTTTCGTGATGACATTAAGAAATACAACATTAATACAATGCTTATGTAACATAACTCATATTCGGATTTTCTTAATGTATGCTTTACAGCTTTATCTCCAATTCCTAAACCAGAATCCTAACAGGGGCCACCTACTACATTTAACTGTCAGGCCTCCTTGAAACTAGAATAGTACCCGAGCTTTTTTTTTTTTTTTTTTCTTTTTTAAACTTTCATGACAGTAACATTTCATTAAGAGCTGAACCAGGTACAGTGGCTCATGCCTGTAATCCCAGCACTTTGGGAGGCCAAGGAGGTCTGATTGCTCGAGCTCAGGAGTTCTAGACCAGCCTAAGCAACACAGAGAAACCTCATCTCTACAAAAAATACAGAAATTAGCCAGGCATGGTGGCAAAGGCCTGTAGTCCCTGCTACATGGGAAGCTGACGTGGGAGGAGTGCTTGAACCAGGGAGGTTGAGGTTACAGTGAACTAAGATGGTGCCACTACTCTATAGGCTGGGTGACAGAGTAAGGCCATGTCTCAAAAAAAGACAAGGAAAAAAAAACTGGGCTGTTTGTTTTTACAGAATGTCTCTCAATTTGGACTTATGAATTGTTTCTTCGTGATTCAAATTCAGGTTAACCATTTTGGGCAGGAACACAACATTAGTGATATGAATGATTCTTTAACATTAGAACCTGTATAAGATTACTATTACAGACCTTGTTATTTGACTTATAGGTAAATCATTGTTTACCTAGATAAGTCTTTTGGGAATTTCCAAAAATGAAGTCCATGGACAGTTAAAAACTGTAGAGGTGGCTGGGTGTGGTGGCTCACGCCTATAATCCCAGTACTTTGGGAGGCTGAGGTGGGTGGATCATCTGGGGTCAGGAGTTTGAGAACAGCCTGGCGAACATCGTGAAACCCCATCTCTACTAAAAATACAAAAGATTAGCTGGACACGGTGGTGGGTGTCTGTAATCCCAGCTACTCGGGAGGCAGAGGCAGGAGAATCGCTTGAACTTGGGAGGCGGAGTTGCAATGAGCTAAGATCGCGCCACTGCACTCAAGCCTGGGTGACAAGAGCAAGACTCCGTCTTAAAAAAAACCACCACCACCAACAAAACAAAACTGTAGAGGCATTTTCTCCCTTAACCAACTTTATTATTAAAGTAAAACAAATCACACCTACCTTTTTTCTCAATTTTCCTCTGATGTGACATAACCTCTTTACACCATCGAAGCACATTGCTTCTAGCCGTCCATTTCCCAACATTTTGATCACCTGAGCATACTCTAAGGGGAGAAAGGAAAAGGGTATGAAATATTGTTCAACTTTTGATAAAAGTAACTTAAAGTCCACATGAAACTGACAAGAGAATATAGTTGTAACAGTTGAGAATAAATATATATAGGAAAAATATAAATAAACATGAGGGAGTGATAAACATCAGTTAGTTAATGGCAGAGAGTTAGACCCAAGACTCTGTAATGCTATTTCTATAACATGCTGTCTCTGCTATTAGACATATTTTAATTATCGACTCATTTTGAATAAATAGATTGACTATTCCACTTTTGGCTCTTTCCCTATAATTTTTAGTACATTTGGCAAACAAAAACAGCTTAACCTTCAGTGTCTTTGTTGAATTAGAATATGACTAACCCCCAGAGAGGATGCCCATTGATTTGTAAATATACCGAGACTTCACTTAGAAAGGCTCAACAGTGGGGTGGACTTCTGAAACTGAATTACTCAGACTACAATTAGCCTGGCACCCACCTACCACCACCTTAACAAGGTTGGTCAACTCAAAGGCAGCCTTTCTTCTGAAGTGAGGAAAAAAAGTAATATTAAAGCAGTGTCTGCCCAAGTCAAGTCAGCTGCTATTTTAGAGGCAAGGATGACTAAGGCTAAGAAACAAAAGGACTTTTAGCCAGAAAATGTATCTCATCTTTAGTGGTTTATATGTATGGCATAATAAATCCACCCAAAGTTCTATTAAAAGCTAAAGTACTGGAAATTATTAGAACACCTGGGGAAACAGGAATTTGGAGTACGTACTAGATAATATTACATCAATGTCAAATTACCTGAGTGTGATAATTCTCTTCCAGTTATATAAGAAAATATACTTGCTCTTAGGAGACACATGATCAAGTAAGGGAAAATTAGCATGATGTCTCTAATGTCTTCAAATGGTCCTCAACAAACCCTACATATATATATGTACATATATATTTCTTTTTTTTTTTGGAGACGGAGTTTCGCT